GCACATATATTTTGTGTGGCTATAAATCGTTGCATAAAGGTAAATTGTTTCCAAATAAGGAAAGAAGTCATTCTTTTTGACACGGACTAAAAAGGAAATAGGTTCACATAAATTAAAACGGAGGGAGTATATTTATAACAAAATTCACGATTTGGCATATGTACAACAAATTCAGTGTGTTCAAATTGATCTCTAGCTAATTATTATGCTCTTGCTCCCTCTTCCTGCCCCATCGTTGCAAACATAGCCTTATTCTCTTAGCTGCTGCTAAGTATTCCACACCTTGAATTGGTGTCAATATGCCCAGTATCTCCTTCAGGGCGTTCATCCTCAACTCATCAGCCTCTTCTAGTAAAGTTGTCATACCCTGACCATGTTTATTCAAGGGCTCCTCTTCGTTCTCGCCTGTTGAAAACATAATTAAATAAATAAAAGTATATATAAATGAGTTGGTCACACAATTTTATATGATACCGGTCAGGTAAAGGTGCTTAATTTGAGTTCCCTCACCACTCATATTGTCACAAAGAAATTTCACATATTTGACTCATTAAAAAATTAGAGTATTGAAGACTGTTGTTTTTACACTATCAGAAAGTGGCGAAGGAATTTTACTAATACTCAAATGATTGGTCATACAATTTAATATGATATCGATCTGAACTAATTAAATAAGTAAAAGTATACTCAGATGATCAGTTGGTCATATAGTTTAACACATACTCGATCAAAACAGGCAAAGGTGCTAAATTTGAGTCTCACCACTAATCATTTTCATAAAGAAATTCACGTGTTTGACTCATAAAAAAGAAAATCAAAGTAGTAAAGATTATTGCTTTTATATTATCAGGTCATATTTACATATTGTAGTAGGTAAAATATTATTTTCAGGATTATAAATTTTACTTTTTACGGAGTGTCACACAGATATTTTAGTGTGTGACATAATAGTGTAAAACTTTATTTACACTACTGACTTGTATAAGTTAAACTCACTCCCTCCGACCCAATTTATGTAATGCGATTTGGATTTCGTGAGCCAAACTTCTTAATTTTGATGGCGAATTTGGATACAGAATCTTAAAGTTCACAATTATTATAATTCATAATTATTAACCACTCAAAATATTTAAAAGACAAATGAAGAAAATCACACTCAGAGGAAAATTCTTTTAACTTTTGAAATTTAAAATACATCACATAAATTGGGAACGAGGAAATAATAAATAAAAGTGTGTTATCTCTGACGTCTTACGGTTTTTTGCCGCAGTGGCGATCGGTTGATCAACTACATCTTCTTGCAAGCTAGCTAACTTTGAACAATGCTTCCTTTCTTCTACAATAATCTTTCTTTGCAACTTATCAATCATAGTTACTTGCTCACCAGAAAGCTGACCAAAATCACTAATTTTCGTACCCTGTAAAAACTCAGTGAGATGTGACTCAATTTCCATACCACAAAGAGCATAAATTAGCCGAATGAACGAAGATGGTCTGCACCCACCAATCCACAGGACTGAATTCTCTAAAGGGGTGCACCAAGTGGGTGCAAAATATGGCGAGACGTCGACTCGAGCCAGTCGGCTACGACCATTAACGTAGCCCTGGAAATTGTTCACCATTCTCGCCAACAGTTGATTCAGTTCGGTGTCGTTTTTCTGGTTTTCTCTGGCTAGTGTAGCAGCGTTTTCAAGCTCATTTAGTTCTTGATTTTGATTGTACATCCATGATTGGTATAAGTTTTCTTCATTGTTTCGATCAGACGTACTACAACTTGAACTTGCCATTGATTTTATCAAAAATTCATTAGCCATAAACAAGTGAATTTTTGGATGAAATTATGTGATATATGGTATGATATAAGAGAAGACCATATGTAATATGGGACAGAAGCGGTCCAGCGGATGTAATATATATCGGCATCTGATGTAACTGAATTCGATATTTTTGACGCAAATTAAAAATTTATATGTGCAGAATTATTTAAATAGATGGTGTTTTTGTCGACATGCAGAAGAAGATAAACTCTTGTATTTGTCAGGTAGTTTGGACATCGTTATTTGGGAAATTAAATGCCAACGTTATTTTGATCTCATATGTACTTTGTAGCCGATCCTTCATAACATGTATTTGAGAGTCAATTTTTTTAATTTTTGGATATAAAATATTAATTTTTTTAAAATAAAATTTTTATATTTAAAAAACGAAATAAAAAGTATTATAAATCATAATAATTATTAGTAATTTAAAATTACTAAAAGGCATTAAGAACTCGCGATAAAAAAATTATTTAACTCTCGAAACTCGAGTTTCGTCACATGAATTGTGACGGAGAAAGTATTTCTTTCGTCCCAATTTATGTGGCAGTGATCCAATTTTGAGAGTTAAATAAAAAAATTCATCATAATTTTTTCACGTGCCTTTAAATATTTTAAATTATTTATTGTTATAACTTATAATGAATTTTATATAATTTTTAAATATTTAAAATTTATTTTAAAAACTTAAAGATTCTATATTTAAATTCACTGTTAAAAAATTAAAAAACATTTTCTCGACTCCTTTTCGTTACACTTTTTCACCATTTTCTCAAGTACACACTTGAATGAGTGACACCTGTCCTTTTTAGTTTCTAAAGTCTAGATTAAATCAATTTAACAAGTATCCTTAACCATTGCTAAGAGATGAGGGAGATTTGATTTTATAGTCCGCTAATAATATTATTGTAGTTATTGATTTTTCTTACAGGAGATAGTAAAATGTAGTATAAAAAATTCTATAAAAATGGTATAAAAAATATTTTAGAATATTAATTTTGATTCAAATTAAAAGTGAACATAAAAAATTGTCTCCTCAAAAAGTGTCAAAAATGAAATATTTTGCCTAAGTTTGAGGTTGGCAGATTATGACTGAAACATCAGGTGTGATATGAATTTTCAACTATAAAAGACAATTTTTGGAACTCTAAATCATGTGATTCATTTTTTTGTCCTTTTATTCCAATGCTGGCATATTGTCTTCTTTCGTTTTTCGGTTACATAACAGTCGGTACATATATTTTTGTTGTTTCCAAAATTTTGTCGTATAATGTAAAGAGAAAGTTTAGATATTAAATTATGTAATATTGAAAAATGTGTAATATATAACATTATCTTTTGTCTTAACGAATAGAAATAGAATAAAAGATTGTAGTTAAAAGGTTAAGTGAGTCCCATATTGTGGAGAATACTATAAAGTATTTAAAAAGTAAGTAAAAATTTTGGAAATAATAAATAAACCCCCATTTTACATGACTTTCCTTATATTTGTCCCAAAAAATGACACCTTTATTTTTTTTTGGATTTTTACGTAAATAGCTGATCGGATTCACTCTTTACTTTTCTTAGCATATATATATAGATTATATACTAATTATATATGATTATATACAAATTATACATGAATTATACACATTTTATATATCTACTAATTATATTTAGTTTAAGAAGGTTGGTGGACGGTTATTTAGGTTAATTCTTCTTCTTTCTTTTTTATAAAATATTTATTTTACCTTTAATGACATAACTTATTAAGATCTACATGATATAAAGGGTCCGATTATTGTTTTATAAAAAGAAAAAAAATGGAAATACAAGTAAAATCTTGCTATCCTTCCTTTTAAAAAGATATTATTTTGGTACTTCACATATAGTTGACTTACACTATCAAAATTCTTCCTTTATTTTATAAATTTATGTTCGGTCAAATACCTTCACATAAATAGAACAGAGAAAATATTATTTA